TTTATTAGGAAAAAGTTTGTGTATCAAACTGAACAATGTTGAAGACCAAAATTGCATTTTTGCCACTTTTTGTCACCACACAATCAATCATTTATGTTAGAATATCACATGTAAGTTTTTCATAAAAAGTGATACTCTCTCCTATTCAAAATAAATGTCGTTTTGAGAAGTTGCACAATAATTAAGAATATTTTGTTGTCAATAATAACCCTATTTAATGAAGATAGAGATGAATGTTTTGAGAAAAAATGAAGAGGGAATATGGAAAGACGTAGTGTATTTATTGACTAAATAAAGTTAATAATGAAAAAAATATGTACAAAAGATCTAAAACGACATTTATTTGGTTAATAGTTGATAAAGCCAGAATGACATTTAAAAAGAATAAGAGGTAGTATTACTTTTAAATCTAGTGGGCTACTGGCGATAACATACCCGTTTCCCAGCCCATTTAGGCTTAAACATCCGACGACTCTGTATATGAGCTTGGGCTTTATAAAGGACTCACAAGTGATATATTAACAAATTACTGTTTTATTTAATGATTTTGTTCTAAATTGGATACCAATATTCCTTCAATATTACGTAATTTGAAAACTTTAATTAATGTCAGTATTAAACACTGGGGATCATTAACTCAAAAGTCAATGCACTAATCGCATTTATATTACAAAATTCCTGGGCATAATTGCATGTGTTGATTACTCTGCAAAACTGAGCATAATTAATGTAATTAATTGTTTATGAAATCTGACTTTTGACTTTTGAGTGTAGCCTTGAGTTGAAACACAAATTATTATTTTTACTGGCCATTGATTTTCCGAATCCTATGTTTGATTTTTCACTGATATTGGATGTTGATATTTTTTAAAATAAAATAAAATAAAATAAAATAGTCCGTAAATATGAGACGTATCAAATTTAGTTATATTGTAATTTTTAAATAATTAATAGTGGTTATGTTAATTTTAACATTAATCAATTTGAAGGAAATTTCTTTTAGAAATTTGAACTTTTGGCTGAAAATTTCTATCTAAAAATGAAAATTTACGAAAATAGTAGTACTAAGTAACGAAGTTTCAATAAATTTGTTTTTGGATACACAAGAATTAGTGGTGCTTATAAGTCGAGCTAAATTCGAGCTCCTACGTTTTTTTTTTGCTCGTTATCATAATTAATCGAGCCAACAAAATTGACTCACCTGACAATATTAATGAGTTGAAATCGAGCTTTAACTAATCGAGTTATGTAAATTACATAAAAACTCTTATTTTTTACTCTTAACAAGATGAGCTCCACTCAACTCGTTAATTAAACAAGTTCGAGCTTGACTCATTTATCAAACGAGCCTAGTAGGGCTCGACTCTTAATGAGCCAACTTGAGAAATAAATTGTACTATTTAACAGCTATAATCATAGTTAAGAATTGTTAAGCAAGAAAAAAAATAATTGTTTTTCACCTATTATTATCTACCAGTGTTAATGACAACAACAACAACAACAACAACAATCATAATAATAATAATAATAATAATAATAACAATAATAATAATAATAATAATAATGATGATGATAAAAAAAAATTAAAAAAGATGATAAACTTGCAATTAGAAGTTGTAGGAGCTAAATGTGACATATTATTCTCAACCCTAAACAGATAGTCTGCGACCAATTAAGATATGATTAAGATAAAATTAAGACAATTGACCAACAAAAAAAAAATTAGAAAATCATAAGACGGAAATTGTAATTAAAGTTGTCCCGACAAGTTTGAGATTAATTTATTTATCTATATTTATCCTAATTTTTACATTGTTTGGGCATAATATATATCGGTTTTGCTATGGAGTCATCGGATGGCTCGGCTTATGGAGCCATCCATTGTTATTCACAAATGAGGTATTGACACGTGTCCTGCAATTAATGCACATTGGACATGTGTCAGTATATAAAAATATGGATGGCTCCATAACGGAGCCATCCGATTGCTCCATAGAATTACTGTAATATATATAGTCATATATATGAGATCCAAGTCAACTGAAACAATTTATGAATTTATTAGAGTTAATTAATATTAACTAGTACAATAGATGTATACTACACGGGTAATTGTTAAGAAAATTAGTTTTAAAATTTAATAATAATAACAATAATTGTTTTAAATTAAATATATATATTATTTATTAGGGTAATTTGAGGTTTTCATGAAAATTAATGAGCCGATTGAGAGCTTCCAAAATAAATTAAGGTTGTATTAGTCAATCAGTGTAATTACCAAAGGTTCACATACAACCTAATGGTTAGAGCATCTCCAATGCTACACCTTTGAAAGACTATAATTTTTAACACATGTCAATCAATGATTGTAATGTTAATCCAACTAGGAATAATGTTAAAAGAGTAGAAATTTGAATTAAATTAGCATCTCCAATGCATCAATTTGATAAAAAGTTATTTGTATTGGTGGACCAATTAAAATAATCACAAATACAAGAAAAATAAAAAATTAAATAAAATATCAAGTGAATTAATTAGTCATCATGTTTAACATGGTGTTAGATATTAGAAAGTGTGCTCAACATTGTCAACATTAAATGCTATACACCTCACCATGAAAGAGCTCATGACAAGATGCATTAGAGAACAAATTAGTAACAAACTTTCAAAAGTTGATGATATGGATGAATTTTTATAATGTCAAAAGTCACATTGGAGATGCTCTTATATTAGTCAAACTATTATGAAATTACCTAGTTTGTTTTTTAATATTTTTAGAATGTTCGAACTTAAAATTATTATTTAAAATAATATTATTTTTTATCTAAATCAAACTACGAAACATATTTTTTCGCCAAGTAGGATTTTGAAGTGTGAGGGCTGCCACTTAAACTCAGCACATTCTGCAATTATATATAGATCAGATATGCCACATCGACATTGCCTAGGTAAAGTGGGCCCCACTAATGGGAACACACGTGACAATGCCTCAACTCAATAAACCGACAAACCAGGGCCCGCCCTTACATGCTTTGCTCTCCGTTTATATATTTATCCTATTTATTTATTTATTTATTTATTTATTTCGTTTTATTGTAAAAACAAAAGACAAATTTTAATAGTAAGTATTAAAATTTTAAAATTTCGTTATTTTTTCTGTAATTTAGAGTAGATCGTGTAGATTTAAATTTTTTATTTTTAAATCATAAAAAATCTTAGTTAACTCAGATTGTATATAAGGTGTGAAATTTATATATTTTTACTTTAAAAAATTTCATGTATTAAATTATCAATTTTATTTTTGAAAGTCTGAAAATGTCCACTAAATTCATTAAAAATTTACAAAGTACATCAATTTAAAAGTATTAAAAAAATTTCTAAGTAAATCAATTGAATTTAATTTCTTCGAAGGGCAACATGACATGTTTAATCAGTGACGTGATGGATCAAAATTTCTCCATTAATTTAATTGATGACTTGATCAAATAATTGAAAGGGGTAATGAAAATCGTGACAACTCAATTTAGCTAGCTCATATTCCGCATTGATTCAATTTTATACATACTATAGTATCAAATAATCATACCAAATGAAAACATATATAAAAGTAAGATACTTTTTTTTTTTTTTAATTATAAATATATAATCTTATTCAAAATGTAAAAATTAAGCTCTTACACCAACAACATTTGTGGTAAAATTATGTTATTAGTTGTTTTTGCAAATTTTTGTATGAGTCAACCTAACAAATAAGTAGGTCAAACCGTCATATATATTTTCACGAAAATGCATGTTTATGCTATGAAATATCTTATTCATTGTTGTTGTACCGAGAAAAACGCAAAAATTCTCATGTGATGATGGTTGAACCATAAGACGGGTTGACCCGTCGTATATTTTTAAAGAAAATACATATTATGTTATAAAATGTATTATGTGTTGGTTTGAAAAAAAAAAAAAAAAAACATATGGATACCTAAACTTTAGGCTTGAGCATGAGTAATTACTATTTAAAAAACTTTATGATTTCATATTAATTAAGCCACTCTCAACTAGTGTTGTTAAATTAAACGAGTTTGGTATGCCTCGTCTCGAGTTCGGCATGGCTCGTTAAGACTTGAGTTGGACTCGACTCTTTTGATAAACAAACCAAGCTCGAGCTCATTTTAAAGCCCGTTTCGAGCTCGGCTCGACAAAAACATGTTAAGACTTAAAAAGAGAATTTTTATATAAATCACTACAAGAATAATCAGTTTTAGTGATGATAATTTTTGTCGCTATGTCGTCACAAAAAATACCGTCACAATAAGAGGTATTATTGTGACGACATTCGAACATATAGCGACAATATTAGGACATTATTAGCCACGGTATTTTTTCTGACGACATATCGACAAAAATTATCATCACTAAAAATGATTATTCTTGTAGTGAATGTTTCTTAGCTCGACTCATTGAACTCGAGATTGATTCGTTAAGGCTCAAACTCGACTTGTTATTTACTAATAAACGATTTGATCTCGAACTCGATTACATGCTTGTTCATTTAACGAGTCGAGCTCGACTCAGCTCGTTAAGGGGTCTCGAGCTTGACTCGTTTACAAACCTACTCCCAACCACAAAACATGCCATTAACATCCTCAATCCAAATAAAAACTAAGAGAAAAACTAATTAAACTTCTTCGGTTTAAATACATTACGAACTCTCATAAACCTATGAAACAAGGAAACTATAAAACTCAAAATATTAATGAACAACATCAACAAATCAACGTCCCTCTAACATATATACAATACAAAGATGCTTCAACAACTCAATTAAACCCTGTTTTTTTTTTTTTTTTTTAACCCAAAATGAAGCTAAAAATTCTAGAAGAAACACCCCTTTTAATCCCATCAAGGGCTCTTCACCTTCCACATTATGAGCAAACACAACACAATTTCTTCTAATTTTTCCTTCATTTTCTTTCTTCTCTTTTTTCATCTTTTCCAAAAAATTATTACATACATCCCAAGCCCTTAGCTTCCGAGGCTCTCATAATCCTTAGTCTCTTGCAAGAGACGACGAACATTTCCCACGGCACGTCCCCGACGAGCATCCAATCCCCATCTTTGTCTTCGTATGTAGGCGCGAATTCGGATCCGTTATACCCTTCACTCTCCGAGTACACTCCTACAAAAATACACCATAAATCGACAAATAAGATTAATTTTAAGTATTTTAAACCATAAACACATGAGATACATATGGGTACATTTGATGCTGGTCAGGTCTAACGATTAGTCAGTCATACTTTATTTTTTTCATCTTAACAGAAATTTGTGAAGGGGGATAAAATTTTGTACCTATAGTGCACTTGAACATGTTCTCCAAGCCCTTGAGGAGATCTAAGTAATTGTTGTAGAATTTGAGATCAATCTTCCTCAAATATGGAGCTCCATCCATGCTCACCTTAACAAAAAACCCGGACCCGTTTTCGGGCTCGGGTTTTTTCTGCTGCTGCTGGTGGTGCTGGTGGATGGCGTTTTTCCGGTAAGATCTAACCGGCGGCCAACCGACCACTTGTGCCCTGGATTTGCAACAACAAAACACAATTTCGAATCAGTAAACTAAACCATATATAAATCCACATTTTTTTTTTCAATCTAATTATAATGATAATTATGTTAATTACAAAAAA